TCTTTCCCCTTTCTTCTCCTCTCTCTAAACAATAAAAAACATCCTTTAAAAGATCCTGGCAGCGGTGGTATTAAGCAGGCTGTCAGATCTTGGTAGTTGAATCCCCAGATGTAACTATTTGCTGTTATATCGCTACATGTTCATATTTTTGATTGAGTCATTTTTTCCATTAAAATAAAAATCCTTTGCCAAGAAAGACTGTGTGACATTTAGTATATCACTGAAGTTGCTCTCCCCAAACAGGCAATTTCTCAAATTGCTACAGTAAAACTCCACAAATATTCTTCTTGAGAAAACCCACCATAGAACAATTCATCTCAGGAAACTATATTTTTTACTAATTTCAAAACAACTAAAGTATGACCGGGCAATCTTAATGACAAGTAGCAGTCCCCTCGCTCCTGATCCAGAATACTTGCTGATTGACTTCTAATGTAGGAGCCAAAAGATTATGAGCCTGGTTCCAGCAGGAGCGTTTCGAAGCACTGAAACCAGGCACAGAGGGTCCCCATCCTGCCAATAAGGGAGTCAGGCAACTCAAAGACTTGTCCAGATCTTCTCAAAATTGCCAGGCACAGAATCTGTTTGAGCTTCCACATGCGAAGTAGCTCCATGCACTCAGGATCTGCAGGACGGTGGCCTCCCCTGGAGGGAAGTGCTCAGCTCATCTGACTTTATGACTCAATGAATCAGATAAGCTAGTGGTAATTTCCCTTCGGGCCTAAGAAAACTCAAAACATTCCCGTTTAAGAGCCTAATATGAGGCTATTAAATGTGGGCCATCCCCAGCTCTCTTGTCCAAATTGGATCAGCATAAATTAAACATGAATGAATCTGGATTTCTTCCTCAACAATTAGTTATGCCAAAGTCTATCGAAGCCACTCAGTGTCCTTTTACTGACAGATTCAACAAATTTTGATTGTACCCTAGTGCTAAGGCAAAAGAACATTTCCAGTTAACTCATCTGTCTCATGCTTCCTAGTGCTTTTTCCTCTCTCTCTTTCATAACAAGTCCAAGTAAAGGGCTGCATTTAGCAGTTTGCTATTCTTCACATTGGGTAATATAAGAGAATGAAACTGCATTTTACTGCCATTGGCAACATTATATATGAAACCAGTGGAATTCACTGGCGCAGTAGGTCAGTGAGTCAAATACTGTGGCAAGATAATTTTATAGCCATCAGTAAATTCTGTAGATGTGCAAGCGTAGATAATAGCATAAGGTTAATTAGATTTAATGCCTCTGAGCATAAAATATACTTTTGTGGGGACCAGTAAGGAATTCTGCCTCCATTTACAGAATCACATCAGTCTCAGTGAAGTTTTCACCTCTGCAGCATCAGAGATGCTTTGACCACCAGTGGAAAGAAGATATAAATTCTGGGGCTTACTTTGCAATGCACTTGGTCCTAGCTAGTACACGGTCTCCCTCTTCTTCTGGAGTGGATTTAAGCAGCTGAAGAAGGCACCCAGGGATCTCAGATGGAGCTCAACATTACCTAGCAATGGACACTAGGTAGCTCTGTTTTGAATTCATTTTCCATGTGCTGCATATTCACACAGCACTGTGTCACAATTTTGAACTCAACTAATATTTTCCATCATTTACAAGAAAAGCACTATTAGATTATTAGCACTGACAAGCTGTCTACCAGCTTCTGGAAATCTCTAAGTGTTGTTTCATTCATTTTTTCAAAACAGTGGGGTTTTATCCTGTCTTTGTGTAGCACCTACTAGGGCAATCCCAGGCTGAAGGTGACAGAAACAGCAATGTCAATAACCAGTCTAAACTCAGCCTGGTCAAAAGTGCCAAATACTCTTTTGATTTCCTCTACTGGATTTTCTACTGTTCTCCAGGAAATCACTTGCAGAGAAAACCCACTTATTTAGCACATTCAACTCCAGAAAATACTGGCTAATTAATATAGGTAAAATTCTCAAACCCTGAAGCAATCTTTCAAGTGAAATAGTATTCAAAACTTGACGAGCTACTCTGCAGGCTCATACTTAATTTTAACTACCACTGTAGCACATTAATTGCTTGCTCATAAATTTAGAAAGATGATATATAAATACATCATAACTGTTTTGCTGAAACTAGAGGTCAACACACAGATGCACACAGACAGAAATGAGCTACTGTAATGACATTTTTACTGGATGCTGTTTTATTTCTTCTCTGAAAACAAGTGCCAATGTGCTTAGAATACAAATGGACAGACCAAAATACTTTGACAGTGATGACCCACAACTATTTTCCTACTCTCTTCTCCAAAGGGGAGGGAAGAACAATGAAAACCAGTACTAGATTAGACAGTCTTTCTGTCTTTCTATACATGAGTACACACTAACAAAACAAACAAAAAAAAAAAAAAAAGAGAAAAAAAAGAACAAAAAAGAAACCAGACACTTTAAGCAAAACCCAAGAAAATCTGAGCCTATTTGTAATTAAGAGAGTGGCTACTTAATGACTTACCTATCCAAGCTCCCAACTCTGGCAACTAGATATAGGAGACTTCCAATAGCAAGGCTGCCTAGTACAAAGAGCTTCTGTCTCAGCAACGCCTGCTGTTTGAATAGCATGGCCCTCCATCAATCTTCAGGACTTCTTCAGTCTGCAGAGACAAGAACAGACAAAACAGTCATCAGAAAGCAATATGCAGGGTGATGTTTAATCAGTTGTTGCAAGTGATTAAGCTACACTTGCAAAATCTTTTCAAACTGCAAAATGAGTAGTTAAAATTTTTTTGTTTGGTACTGTTTTTCTGTCCCACATGGTAACACCAGGCAATGTGTCTGGAATATAGTGATAATTCTGGAAGCGATAGTTCAGCTACATCCACCATTACTAGGGCTGTCTGATAGCCATACCATGGGTCTTAACTGTATAGAGGCTTGTATAGGATCTCTTGTTAGGTAAATATGTTTAGACTTTAAGCCCTTCAAAATCAGATTATTAGCAGATTTTGGGCTAGATTTCAACAGAGATTTAAATGCTTTGCTGCCAAGTGAGTCATTAGTAACCAGGAGTTAGGCTTGCAGGTTCTGTGCACACTGTATGGGGGCACGTTTACTGTGATTCTAGTCTTAATAGAATGTAAACTGGAGGGAAATCTAACCAATGTATTTCCTGATCTGTGCCAGCAAGCCTCTGATAGCAGATCTGAGAAGCATGTAGCTGAGGTGGGCTCAATGACCATTTTCTGACATTAGCTCATCCTATTGGCTCTCCCTGTGCTGGACGTTAGCTTGGGCTGTTCTAAGGAGAAACCTTAAGCACTTCATCTGTCTGTCTGTCTTGAGGCTGTCGTCTCAAAACCTGATGGGACACAAACTGGAATCCTTGAAGTAAGCATGCCCATATCCACAGATTTCAGCAACACCAATGCGTAGACTTAATTTTCCTTTTCTGATGTGCATCAGGGACCATCTAAAGCTCACAAATGAGCTTTGCTTGCAAGACTTTAGATATAAGGCAAGCATGAGTCAAACAATGTTACCTTGTGCCAAGAAAATTTAACCAAAATAACCAGGTGGTAAGGTAGTAGGAAGTGCTGAGTAAAACTATTTGTCTTTAGTCTGACTCTTCCCTAGGCATTAGGTTTGTGTTCAGGACTGCAGACCTGTTTAAGAGACTCAGAGCTACATGTCTAATACCTTCTTACAAGAACTGAGGAGAAAGATCAGCCCTCCTTTCAGAGCACAGCCAAAGATGACATGGTTCTTCACTCTGTGCCAGTCCTGGGCTTTCATATAAATATACAGGAGACTAAAGTTGAAATCCCCTCACTAGCTTAGGTGATATAAAGCCATATTGTATACCTACCAAATGAATGCTTTAATTTCCAAATAGATCCTTTTGATATAAAACCCACAAATATAAACTGGAATCACCTGAATTGCTCATCCATATTCTCAGTCCCTCAACCAGGGAGTGTTTAATGTATTATGGAGTAGTTTCAGCAGAAACTGCTTTTTTTTTTTTCTGAATTTTGACTGGACTTACTTTGAACAATTTTTGATCTCAAGTTTTACTACTAGTAAAGCTCCTTTTGCAGCTCACTTCTTTTCCGGCCTTAGGACTTGCATCAGGCAAGACTGGGAGAGATTATTATAAGCCTATAACTATATACAGAAGCAGAATGGGTAGTGAGAATTCAAGGCTTGACTGGTCACTGTTAAACAGAGCCTGCAAATGTTTCTTTGTCCTACACATACTGTTAAATTTTTGACCCAGAAAGCTCTCATGAGACTCCAGAATACAGTTTGGGAGCTACTACAAGCCAGGGACCATTCCCAATAGACAGCATGCATGCAGCCTGCCTGCCTAAGTGCTGGCTGAGTTTTATGGTATGGATGCAGATCACTCCATACTGGTTGTCTTCAACCAATAGAATAGTCATTCCCAAGCACATTTATTTTATTGCTATATAGAAAGCCTTTGTAAGACCAGCACATCATCTCTTGATAAAAGAGCCATGCAACATCGAAGGTCTGAGTCTGACTGAGTCTCTAACACACTTCTGGCGTGCTAATAATAATAGGAACTCCTTATACAGCCAGGTCATAGCTCAGGATAACCTCTCATACAGGATAACCTATCATACAGAATATATTGCTTTTTACATAGATAAAAGGAACTCTATAATAAGAATTATTGGATAAGATCCTTATTGCAACAAGAATCATATCGAACACAGAGCAAAAGGAGTTTGCAATGTAAATACAGAGAGAGAAGAGGTATTATCATCCTTTAAAAAATAAATGAGGAGCAGAGGTACAGAGAGATTAAGTGATTTGCTCAAGGTCACAGAGAAAACCTGTAGCACCGGTGGGATTCAGTGCGAAATGTCAGAATTCCTATCTAGTTCCTTAACTACATGGTAAACTTTTGCCTTTTTTGTAGTATACTTTTTCTTAACATTGAAATATAAACATATATATGACATATAAATGAGGAATTCTAGACATTGAGCAAGAGAGAAAACCCATAGCTGAAGCCTAATTATTAAGAAAAATGCACAGATACTATATCTTTATGTAGATATGCTACTGCTAATTACTCTTTTAATTAAGTTATTTAATTAAAAAGAGGAAAGAGAAGCACATGCTGCTGCTGCTGATTATGATGATGATAATAGCAAATTTTCATAGGTTTCCAGTTTTAAATCCTTCAATGCTGCTGTCTCTAAACAAAAGTATCACTTCAGCGTTACAACAATTTGTTCTGAACTTCATGTCTCAGAGAACATATGCATATGCAGCCCGCTGTACATGAAACTAAAGTGCTGTCCACGTGTTCTCCCTTATACAGGCTCTTGGACCCCAGTTAACCAATGAACAAAAAAAAGAGAAACTCCAAAATCAAAAAACAAACCAGGATACCAAAGCTGTTCCATTTGCTCTGTGTTTGTATGCACCTGAGTACAGAAAACTTTTCCACAGAATAATAAGTACTAAACACCCAATAGAAATGCAAATATAACATTATTTATTTGCTTGTTTAATTTCTGTTATCACTTTCAGCATCTAATTTAAAGTCCATGGAAAGAGTTTTATTCCAGTGACCTCTATAATACTTTCCTCAGATGTTAGATTTTTTGATGAAAAAAAATGCAGAGAAATAATATTTCAGCTTCAGAAATGGCTACATATTGCAATGGATGTACTGAGGCAGCTCTATGTGACAGAGGAAAAGACTGAAGGAACACTTCTATTTAAGCCACAGAGTTAATACGACCAGAATGTGATTAAGGTGAAGGTCCCTAAGGCAGAAATGTTGCTGGAGACTTACATGGCAACACTTAAGCGAAATGGAAAGAAGAAATGAAAAGGAAGAAATGAAAATTCTGGGGCACATTATAAGCTGCACAAAGTTTTCTATAAGGAACGTGTACTTTTAAACCTAACAAAAAGCTGGAAGGCAAGATAAAATGTAATGCAAAGTGACAAGATTTTAGCAGTTATTTGAGGCAAATAAGTGTGTTATTTTAAAAATTTTGCTCTCTGTTAGGGACGACAGCCGAACTGGCACAGAAGCTGCTGACCGGTAGGAGGAGGGTTGGGAAAGCCACAGGCAGAACTCTCCTGGCAGCTGGATGCTGAACATGAAACCTCCTACCACGAGAGATGACAATACACACACAGCACATCTCCAGTGGGCTTACACTTGACATATCTATCTTTAACAATCTAGTTAAATATACACACGAGGAAAGTCCCCTCCTGGATATCCAGGAGAGTCACGATACACAAAGAACAATACAAACAATTCACAAAGTAGCATGCATAATTTCTAGAAATTAAAGTGTGTGCAACATTACGTAGAGAAAAAAATGTAATGTGGTTTGTGATTTCAGATGCACAGCTGATCTAACTTGTTAGATTGACACGGCAAATTTAAATAAAGAAGCTTCATCCGAGTATTGATGTGAATGCCTCACCCAACCCTGTTCCCCACGTTCCCAGCCCTGCTGATCAGAGGACTGGGATTATTGAGTGAATTGCCAAGAGAAGACAGTACAACTATGTAAAACTGTGATGATAATACCGATTGAAAAACAGATGGACTGTTCCTGACAACATGATGTGATCATGGGTAAAGGAAGATATTACATGGGCTGACCAAATAATGTGAATTTTCGGTGAACTTGTAAAAGTTAGTTTTAGGTTCAAGTTAGTTCAAAGCCAAATGAGTATGAGAAAACAGAAAAATGCATACCAATAATGACAGTATTACTGATAAAAGTCTGAATTTGATAACACCACAAAGTGTGCACAAGCACTGAAAACAGAAGCTGTTGCTATAATCACCTATTCCAAATAAACAGACAAGAAGATCACCAGGAAGTTATTTGAAAATGATCAGAGGGAAATTTTTGGACACATGGAGCAGAGATGAGAAGATGCTATTGATAAATGAATAACGTGGTTAATTATGGAGAGAAGCGTAAGAAAGGAAGGCAACATATAATCTTTTGGTAAACAGACTGAAGAGATACAGTCTTGATGGAGTGATGTGATTAATCAAAGTGAAGTACAAACCACAGGCAAAAATGCACAAAGGAGGATGGAAAAAATAATAAATAAGAGGTATGTTTTAAATTGAATTTATCAATCAGTTGGCATAGATATTTTTGATTTTGCACACCAGCAGGGGTCATCTGTTGACCAACAAATATTTGTCTTCATACATTGCAAAAAGATCTTTGAGTTAAATCTGTGAGATTTAAATACAGTGACTGAGAAAACAAGTCAGGGAACTGATCACTTGGCATGTTTCCGCTTCTCTTGATTTTGCATTATGTTTCTGGAATGTTAACTACAGCTTCTTACATTTGTCACTGTAAGTAAAATTCATACAAATAAAGCACTTAGACTTTTTCTGGGGTAGGAAATCACATGGCGTTTGGGAAAGGACGGAATTTATCCCTCAAATTGTGTGCATCAGCTCATCAGCTCATGACCATAGAATCACAGAATACCAGGTTGGAAGGGACCTCAAGGATCATCTGGTCCAACCTTTCCTGGCAAAAGCTCCATTGAGACAAAAGCACGGTCTGGACAAGATGCCCCAGCACCCCCTCCAGCCAAACCTCAAAAGTGTCCAGTGTTGGA